GAATCATGAGAGGACGAAACCTATCAATATTCAGCATTCCACAACATTCCATTCCAGTGTCGGCCGAGAAAGTTCTTCGTGATTTCCAGACTTGGTTTCCTCCCCTTGTCAGAGGTGCAGGACAGAGGGCCTGACAAGGAGGGACAGCTGTCTAGTCGTTTGGATGGTACGAATGACCGAGGTCCTGTGCACACATTGGTGTGCACGTGAAAGATCCCTTGGCAGTTTGAATTCGATATAAGAGTAGGCTTTAGCGCCGCTGTCTGGATAAAATTCCATAATAGGACACTGTATAGCATATTTCCATGTCATTAGCCCTGTCGGAATAGGACATTAAACCCCATTTCATTTCACTCATTCCAAAGTTAACTCCTATTCCATCAATACCTTGAGCAAATAAGATAGAGGCTATAGGTTTTGGCCCAATTTGGTCAATATCCCAGTTTTTTCTTTCTTATATGCATATCAACACTTTCATAGCGCTAATGTAGACCTTTTTCTTGAACATTTTCCCTTGTCAGTGATGCCGGACAGAGGACCTGACATGGATGGCTGACTAGTCATACGGAAGGGACCAAAAAAACAAGGTACAGTGTAAACTCAAGTGTGTGTGTGTGTGTGAAAGATCCCTTGGCAGTTGGAATTTTATATAAGAGTACGCCATAGCCCTGCACACTGTGTGGCATATGCCCGTCTTCATTTCTCAAACAGCTGTGGATAAAAACTGTTAATATTTAAATGTGTATTTTGTATTTTATAACATTATATTTTTGTCTTTTAAATAAAGTATATGTATACATACTTGTAGTATATTTTGTCATATTATTCTGCTAGATTTTTAACTTTTCTGTGCAATACATTTAGAATTCTGACTGGTTATGGGTAGATAGAGAGCAATGGGGTAAAACATCCAATAGACATAAACTGTCCTTTGGGACTAAGTGATTCAATTCAAGTTGAATAATTCATCCGCACCAGGAATCTTTAGTAGTAGGAGGACCCAGAGAAAACCCATGTTCAAGTTGGGTGTGGAAACAAACCACTTGACTCAATGACAGACCTTATGATCTAAAGCGCACACGTTGGACCACTCAACTTTTAGCCTCACCCACGGGTCAGGAAAATTTGATTATTGATTGAATGTACTTCCCATTTACTGCCGCAAATAATGAATAATTTTGAAGGTTTTAATGGTTGGTTATATTTTGCTAACTTTGGTCATCAAAATTTGACATTAGAATTGCATCCGTAAATGATGTTAATTTAATGTTAGATTTACGTTATAATGGTCGGTTAGATATCCATCATTTTGCTCATCCTTTTAACGACAATTTAACTTCAGGAAATGACGTTAATCTAGCGTAAAGTTTACGTCATTTTTACGTTATATTTACATCATTTTCTGACGTAAATCTAACGTAAAGTTTACGTCATTTTCTGACGTAAATCTAACGAAAATGACGTAAATATAACGTAAAAATAACGTAAAGTTTACGTTAGATTAACGTCATTTCCTGACGTAAAATTATCGTTAAAAAGATGAGCAAAATGATGGTAAACTGACTGACCATTTTTACGTAAATGTAACGTAAAATTAACATCATATTGTTATGTGGGCATGTTTGCCGCTCGTCAGCTGAGAAGGTAAACAAACGGTAGGCCTAGGCTAGCGAGCTCTCGGACGTTTGCTATTATGAATACGAGATACAATAAATGCAAGGACTGTTCTGCAAGGACTGTTTATTAAATTCGTAACATTACCCCCACCCCTAAACAATATTCGTCCCGAATATAAAAGATTGCAACATCGAACAAGTCCTTGAAAGTGAGTATATAATTATTTTATATAATATTAATAAATTTAACAATTAAATATAATAAATAATACAATTGAATTGAAGGAAGTAGAACAACATCTCATACATAGAACATCATAAATTGGGAAAATTACAATAGAGGATAACATTTAACAATTTTAAAACGAGAATTTCATATTTTCTAAGAAAGTCAAAACATAATTATTTCTATGTCTTTTGCTCATAGGCTGTCAACCTACTATATCCTAGGTTCATAGGCATTATTTCCACCCTTAAAAACCATTGACACAAAAAAAAACAACACAATCACCTCCCTCGTTATTCTATTCCCCCCATGGAAAGCTAACTTTAAACATATGAATTTGAAGTTGAAAATTACATTCTTGCCACTCTTTCAACTGCCAATAGTGAATCATAGGAATAATAGGATCATTCTTTAACGAGAGCATATAAAGTTCATAATCAAAAGTTCAACATCACACCGTTATTGATACTGCGGTAAATGTTCAAATCAGGGTGCCTACCCAGCTGGTGATTATATAATATCACGGAATCAACTCACATTGTTTATAAGGGTTACTTGGTTCTATACTTATAAGGTTTGTTTAAATTCCTTACAGGTCTATGTCGCACACACAGTTCATCGTCGCAGTTACACAGGGAGTATTGATTTACTTTTACGTGATGGATAATGGCCGAAGACTTGTCTATTATGTAAATAGAAAGAACAACTGAGGGGCGTTAGCCCCAAAGTTTTTCTTTGTATTTACATAATGGACAGTCTGAGGCTATTATCAAACTTAAAACAGCATCATAGAGATACAAATAATGGATAGTTTTTTAAAACAACAAGCCATAAAATGTAAATAGAAAAAACAACTGAGGGCCGGGCGGTAGCCCCAAAGTTTTTCTTTGTATTTACATAATGGACAGTCTGAGGCTATTATCAAACTTAAAACATAGCACCATAGAGATACAAATAATGGATAGTTTTTTAAAACAACAAGCCATAAAATAATGGATATATTCTTAAAACAACATGCTCATGAATGCATGTGACAAAACACTCCAGTCATACAATGCAAGCATACACAGACAGTCCATAATATTCTACATGGAGACATGTTTACAACACAGTCGGAAACAAATATTAATAATGAGGATATATGTGATAAGCATTTGGATACTGATTACATTGGTAATGTACTCGATATGGAAGAGAATAGCCGTAGATGTTCTTGATATGTGGGATAATAGCCGTCAAAGTTGTGATGGAAAGGCTGCTCACGAGAATGATTTAGATATTGATAATTTTCTTAATACTGTGGTTAATATGGAGGGTACTAGCCGTCCCAATTTTGATTTAAAATTTAATATATACTCTGATATAAGTGACAGGACACAGGATCAAAGGCACAAACCAATTCACGAAATTCAAACTCAACTGTCATTATGGTGTAACGGTGATATATTTGAACTTTTTTTTATAATCGGATAAAAATTGTGACCTGCATAGTTCCACAGGCTCAAAACACGTTTTTTTGTTCAATCCGGGGCCATAATCCAGGAAATTACGGTCCGATATGCGCCAATATTGCAAGGAATCGAGATCTTTGGGTTATAAATACACATGTTCAGTTTCATCAAAATGGGCTAATAATTGTGACCTCTAGTGTATACAATCAGGGGCCATAAACCATGAAGTTACGGTCCCATACAAGCCAATATCGAAAGGAAACGAGATGTTTGGGATATAAACCTATATTTCAAGTTATGACCTGTAGAGTGTCCACAAAAAAGGTGTGAAAATGTGGGTGTATGCCGTATAGAAACGTATCACCGATCTAGTGCCGAACGTACTATTAAACGGATAAGTGACATATAACGGACGGATTTAAGTGGAATTCTTTATGTAGACAAACACGTGAAATCAACATTCGGCCATGTGACATTTCGGTAACTATGAGGTTTTAAAGTAATTTCATTTTCTGTAATTTAATTTGTTCAGAGAATAAATTATCCCAAAATACATGTTCATTTTTCAGATTATTATTATTATTATTATTATTATTACAGCATATTTATAGTGCACCCTTTCATATAAAATGTTCAGGGGCACTTTACAAAGTGACAATGTAAATCACACATAAACAACAAGATTATGGGCATGTTAACGATTGTATACAGAGTCAGTTAAAAGCCTGATTAAATAAATGTGTTTTAAGTTGTTTTTTTAAAGAATATAGAGATGTACAACATCTTAAACTAAATGGTAGATTATTCCATAAAACAGGTGCTTGATAACTAAAAGAGCGCTGACCATAAGAGACTAGTTGAACAGTTTTGGGCTTTAAAAGTAGTTTATCTGATGTACGTAATGTTCGGCCAGGTGTATAAAGTTCTAAAAGATCTGAGAGGTAAACAGGAGCTAAATTATTTAAACATTTAAAAGTAAGTAATAAAATCTTAAAAACAATTCGATATTTAACAGGTAACCAGTGTAAATTATATAAAACAGGAGTTATGTGGTCACATTTCTTAGTTAAAGTAACAAGTCTATTATTGGTATTTTCTTAAGAAGAGCGTACATTCTCCTATATAATGGCTAAAAACATCAAAGGATGACGTCATATAATATAAGCACTTTACTGTCACAGTGAATGTATCATATAAGTATAAGTGATGAACACATAATCATAATATTGAAACGGTAGATCAGCACTTTCTCGTCTTAGTGATGAACACATAATCATAATATTGAAACGGTAGATCAGCACTTTCTCGTCTTAGTGATGAACACATAATCATAATATTGAAACGGTGGATCAGCACTTTTCGTCTAAGTGATGAACACATAATCATAATATTGAAACGGTAGATCAGCACTTCTCGTCTAAGTGATGAACACATAATCATAATATTGAAACGGTAGATCATAGCTTTCTCGTCTTAGTGATGAACAAGTATAAACATTGAAACTTCAAGTCATGGATTAAAAATAATAACTCCTTTCATTGCAGGCAAAATCAACTATAACTATAGGTCTTTCATCCTGGATTCAACGGCCTTCAATAAACCCTCAAGCTCGTAAAATTTGCATTCTAAGGCTAGCTCCTCTAGTTGTGAAAAGGTAAGTGGTAACAATTTTGTGATAGATCCAATTGACACTGTCCGCAGATAATTTAGGATTTATCCAAAGTGTTTTGGGTCGCGGTCAAGGAAGTAGGTATATATACTTTCCACCTCGTACGGTTTCATAGGAGATTCAGGCGATACTAGGAGGGCGAGCAATGATGACGGATCAGCCTGCAGAGTTGACGCAGAGGTTTGAAATTTAGTTCCCCCTACGTTGAGGACGATCCTCTGAGCCTGACTGAGGGCCCATCCTTTGACTTTAAGTAGTCTTCGATTGGCAGCGGTTGTTACCTCTGATAGTTTGACTTGGGTGTTCTGTGTCGTCGCCTTCGATGGAGCGCTCTCGGTGCTGCTGGTGGTATCAGATGAAGAGCAGGTGATACCGGACAGTGAAGCAGGCACAGTCAAAATGGGATACATTTCAAGCTTCTCCCCAGTGAAGGTGTTCTGGGCTTGTAAGGGTTGGAACAGAGGTATGTCTTCAGTTTTCAATTTCTTCACATGGATGTCCCCCCTGGGGTCTCGGGCGTTTGCCTTCTTTGCCCTGACTACTCCCCTTCTTTCCTCCCTCGTCTGTCCTGGGGGCAATTTGACCTGTTTTCTTTGTTTTTTCTATACATGTGTCCTCCTTTCTATCTTTCTCTCCTTTCTCTGCTTCTATCTTTCTCTTTCCTTTTCTGCTCCTATCTTTCTCCTCTCTCTTTTCTCTAATTCCAACTTTTTCTTCTTCTCTCTTTTCTCTAATTCCATATTTCTCCCCTTCTCTCTTTTCTCTCTCGGCCGCTAAGGCATCTTTTCTCTCTGCCTCTGTCTCTGGTTTACGTCTGAACTTTACAATGTATCTCCATTGTTTAGCAAGGAAGTTCTTATATTCTAAGCGTTCTTCTGGGCCAAACCTCATGTTGCCTCTCTTGACCAGACTCATGTTGTTGCTGCTACACCGGCCATGCCGGCTGTCTGGGGTGTATACCCCATTACATTCGGGACATTCAAAACCAAATCCATAATGCCGCGCCTGGAGGTGTCGCATTACATGGGTTTTCCTGGAAAAATCTGTTTTCTCCCAGCATATCCTACATCTATACCGTTCAACCTGAAGACCAGAAGATAATCAACTTAAGTTTGTATTACAGCTCTTGTCTTGATTTATAGTGAGTAACCATTATTTATTATATATCATTTACTTGTGTTCCAACTTTTATAAGCCCCCCTGGGGTGTGATCTGGACTGGGCCGGGTTGCAGTTTCAGCCAGGTAGGTTTGTTTGTCCCTGTGTTTAATTTTATTTTATTATGATGTACTACTTTAGGTTTAGTTGTTGGGCTCCTTTGAATTTTATAGACATCATTGATCCTGTCTAGAATGGTGAAAGGGCCTTGCCAGGGACAATGCAGCTTGGCACCCATGCCTTTATGCCGGGGATTATAGAACCATACTGGGTCTCCCCTTTTATACTGATTTAGCTGAATGTTACGGTCATGATCCTTGGCCATTTTATTGCTGGCAATTTTAAGCCTGTCCCTAGCAAATTTGTGGATTTTCTCTAATTTCTGCGATAACTGTGTGGCATACTCGGACTTAAAATGATATGTTTGTTCTTCAGGTCTCACTCTACCTAGAACAAGGTCAACAGGCAAGTTTATGGTTTGTCCGAATATCTCATATGGTGAGACACCTGTCGCCTCATGGTCTGCGGTCCGGTAAGCCATCATAAAAAAGGAAAACATATTTGTCCCAATCTCTCTTATTAGTTGAAACGAATGCGGAAAGCATGGACTCAATCGTACGGTTAGCTCTCTCCACCATACCATCAGATTGAGGTCGGTAAGGAGTGGTCCTCGTCTTTTCGACTCCGAGGATTTTACAAACTTCTTGAAATACGGCAGACTCGAAATTTGGGCCTTGATCGGAATGTAATTGCATAGGGGTACCGAAAATGGCGACCACTCTCTCTACAAATTTATCCGCAATGGTGGTGGCTCTCTGGTTAGGCAGAGGAATAGCATCCACCCATTTAGAAAAATAATCTGCAACCACTAGTAGGTATGAATTTCCGTCATCAGTCAACGGCAATGGTCCCAGTATGTCAAGTGCCCACCTTTCGTGAGGTGCGCCAACAATGTAAGTTTTTAATGGCCCTTTCGGTTTTCGGGTAGGAGTTTTCCTAGATGAACATTTGTCACACTCTTTGGACCATCTATTGACATCTTAAGTCATGCGATGCCAAAAATATCTTGCCCGTAATTTTGAGAGTGTCTTTTTCGTTCCTAAATGTCCTCCCCCTATGGAATCATGTAATTGACTAAAAGCAAATCTGGTTAATTTCTCTGGCAAAACTATCTGACAGATGGATTCTCTCCCTTGGGTCTCAGGTAATTCCCACCTATGGCATAATAGGCCATCAATTAACTTCAGGGAGTCAAATCTCGCCCAATAATATTTTGTACTGGGATCAAGTGGAGAAATCTCTGGCCAGGGTGGTCTCTGTCCGTCAGTAATCCATCTAATAACATTAAGTAATACTTTGTCATTTTGTTGGAGATTTTTAATAGTTATGGGGTCAGAGTTCATTTCCTAACGAGTGGTCTCTTTCTTAATTTCAGGCTCAGGGACATTCAATGGATTTGTGTTTAAATTTGGGGAGTTTGAGTCAGAGTCACAGGTGGCAGCATCAATGTGGTAAGGACAGTCCCCTTCCATCTCATGTCTGCGATTCTTAGAATCATGATCATTTAGATATTTTTGCTCAGCGGTACTGCAGTGTCGGCATTCTGGAATGCATGGTCGTCGGGAAAGTGCATCGGCATTTTGGTGAATTCTTCCTGATCGGAATTCTATTTTAAACTGGTATGAAGATAGGAATTCGAACCAACGAGCTATTTGACCTTCCGGATTTTTAAAATTTATGAGCCATGTTAAAGCTCCATGATCGGTCCTAACTCTGAAATAACGACCATAATGATAGTGATGAAAATGTTTGATGGAGGCAACCACTGCCAGCAATTCCTTCCGCGTCACACAATGTTTACGTTCAGATTGGCTCAATGCTTTACTAAAGTAGCATATTACTTTTTCTTTCCCATCCTGCACTTGAGACAGCACCGACCCTATGCTATTGTTTGAGGCATCGCTGTCAAGGATGAACAGTCCCTCATCCTGTGGAAATGCCAAAATAGGGGAGCTAGTCAACTTCAACTTTAAAGTTTCAAATGACAATTGACAATCAGACGTCCAATTAAATTTCTGATTGATTTCCGTGAGTTGATGTAAAGGGCGTGCAACCTCTGCAAAGTTGCTGACAAAATGGCGGTAATATGAGCAAAGGCCCAGAAATTGGCGAACCTCTTTTACTGATGAGGGGGGTGGCCAATTCTTTACACAACATGTTTTGTCTGGGTCGGTAGCGACACCATCTTCACTGACAATGTGGCCAAGGAATTTGGCTTCCGTTCTTAGCATACTGCATTTTTTGGATTCATTTTTAGGTTTGCACTTTGAAATACTAGCTCTAATCTTTCCAGATGTTCCGGGGAAGGTTCTTGAGAATACAATTATGTCATCTAAGTATGCCAAACATATATTCCAGTTTAATTTTGAGAGTACCTGGTTGACCAGTCGAACAAATAATGCGGGTCCATTGCATAGGCCAAATGGAAGGGACACAAATTGCCAAAGTCCACTGCCTTGGGTAGCAAAAGCAGTTTTTACACGATCTTCCGGAGCTATGCGACATTGCCAATACCCGGACTTAAGGTCTAAGGTCGCAAAATACTTCATCCCAGAAAGGGCATCAAGGGTACTGTCTATGCGTGGTATGGGATGACTGTCCTTAATTGTAACTTCATTTAACCGTCGATAGTCGAGTTGTCTTTCTTTCGGACTAAAACTACAGGGGGACACCAAGGGTTTTCTGAAGGTTCAATTACCCCCTTTCTAGCCATGTCCTCGATCTCTTTTTCAACTTCCTTAATAGATGCTAAGGGAACTCATCGGGGTGGCTGTCGGATTGGAGGGGAGGCACCTCCTCCCCATTTATTTTCAGACAATTTTTATTTAAGAGTATGTCAGCCGAAAATTTTGTTAAAAAGTCTATGCCGAGTATGCCATCTTGTGTTATATCTGCGATGAAAAAGTCATGGACCAAGAATTGCTTTCCTATTTTTACCTTGACCTCAACTTTCCCTAAAAACGATCTCCTGTCACCTGTTGCCGTTAAAAAGTTTAGATTTACTTGAGCAATAGATAATTTTTTCAGGGTTTGATGTCTTTGTAGGAATTTTCCACTTAAAATGGAGATCGTGGCGCCGGTATCGACCAGCATAGGTAAATGGTTAGCCTCAAGTTTGGCATGCACAAATAATCCATGTTTTTCTTCGCTGATACTACTTATAATGATATTCCTAGGTCTCTCCCCTTTTAAATCTTTGACTGACTTCCGACCCTCGAACTCAGTCTGTATTAGTTTCCCGAGGAAGTAGGCCTTTGATGGGCTGGTGGGTAGGTTGGAAGAAGAATTTCCCTGATGAAAGCTATTTCCCCTTGATCCATTGTTATAGTGGAACCAACTAGACTGAAAATTGTAGTTATCTCCCCTATATGCACTGGGATTATTTGGAGGGGATCCTCTAGAATTATTACTGTTGGACGGTTCAGCATAATTAGTTTGCATTCCATTCCAGTTATTGGAGCTACCAGACCTAGCTCTATATTGACCTTGATTAGTGGCCCTTAGAGTCTGGACGAGTTCAGTTGTGGCTTTTTCTAAGGTGTTTATGGATTTATTGAGCGAGGAAAAATTTATTCTATCATCATTTATAATGGCTTTATTTTCAAGGCTTTAAGGTCGTTCCTGGTCGGTGCGACACACAGAAACAGTGCTTGATGGATCCCATAAACAGATTTGCCCCTTTGTTTGTCAGCCAGGCGGTGTGCCTTATAGCATGGGTCTCGGCATCTGTGATATCTTTTGGCTTGAGCTCGCAGATTCGAAGTCTCATATCACAGTCAGAGAGAGAGTGAACAAATCTGCAAAATTTTCACTAAAGTGGTGAAATCATGGATTTCGATGGGAGATAACTCTGTCAGGACTGCTCTAGCTCTACCTGTCAGACTGCTTGCCAAGTACAGTGATTTTTCTTGGTAACCCCAATTATTAATCTTAGCTATTATATCAAATTGACTTAAGAACTCATCCAGGTCGTCACTACCACTGTAAAGTTGAGGCCTAATTTTTAAATTATTGTTTAAGTGACCATGTTGACGCCTGTCTGTGTTGGTGTGATTCTGGTTAGGGTGATCATAATTGTCTCCCCCTGCATTGGGACTGGGAGTGGGCTGGTTCTCGCCAATCAGAGACCTACCAATTCGCTGATCTACATATTCCTTGAGAGAGTTCAGGTCACCAATTAACTGGTTCATGTTGCGTTCATTTTCGCATCGCATATCTTGTCTGAACATTACAAATTTCTCCCCAATTTTGTCTAGCAGCATGACCGTATCACTGTTCATGGTAGAATTTTGATAACTCGCTGAGGGTATGGGCGAGGGTGAGATCAGAGGGGAATCTGCATTCTCATTCTCTCCATGTTGACTGCCTACGTTTTCTAGATTTAAAATTACTTCTGAGTCCTCTAGGGACGCCATGGTAGGATTCTAGTTGAAAGCTCTCTTGTAATCACAATTAATTTATTGTAGATGCCTTCTACTGATTAGGTCGCTGATCAACTAGCTTAATTTTAATGTGTAATTCTT